CATCACATTCACATAAAAATTATTTTATTTTAATATATTCACAATCAATCCATTCAGGGAAACAACATATCAAAAAATGGCATGAATCAGACCAGGGGTTCAGAAGTTAGTAAAGTATCTTTTGGGGCCTTTACAGAGCCCTCTATCCTGGAGACAATGGGGAAAATAATCCAATTATCCAGGGATAGAGGCAGACTCCATTGAGCACATGTTCCCAGTAAAACACAAAAGGATACAAAAATACATAACTCCTATCATACTGAATTGAACGGGCCAAATCTCCCAGGGTCCATAGTCACAGGGCAAGAGGCGGGCAAGCAGTCCTCTCCAGGCACAAGTGGCGAAGGCCCTTCGTCACAGTAATAAATTCATGAATAAAGTAGCAGGGAGGGAAAGTACCGAATGAATGGAGGGGGATTCTTCACACACCTGGTCTCCGGGCGGTGATGGGAGACAGCAGAGTTGGGGTTACCCACTTTATTTTTAAAATCCCCCCTACTGCGGCAAAGCAGAATCCTCAAAAAAGATTCAAAGTCTGTTTCAAAAGGGGGCAAAAAAAGGACACCGTCTTTTACGATCCTGATTGCCCTGTCTACTTTTTGAAAATATATGGTTTGATGGGGGTAAATTACATTGGCCTGCTTAAAAAATGCCTTAAACCGGGAAAACTGTAATGCGCACCCTCCAAATAAGGTCTTTTAGCCCCCAGAGAACCCGACACACCTATACATTTTTTTAAATTTGGCATAGATTGGTGGTAAAATGGTTGCATGAAAAGAGTCAGAATACCCCAAGTTTAATATCTTAGGTTGTATACTTTCAAAAAATATATACATGTGAAGGGTTATTCAGGTATTCCTGACAGATATCATTGTAACTTTAGTTAATTTAAAAAAAAAAATGGTTTGGAAATAGCAAAGTGCCACTTGTACTTATTGCCCTATAACTTGCAAAAATGTTAACATTGGGTATTTCTAAACTCAAGGCAAAATGTAGAAACTATTTAGCACAGGTGTTTTTTGGCGGTTGTAGATGCGTAACAGATTTTCGGGGTCAAAGTTAGAAAAGGTGTGTTTTTAAAAAGATTTTTCATCATATTTTATAATTTTTTTTAGTAAATTATATGATATGATGAACATAGCAGTATGCTTAGAAATACCATTTAATGGTGAGAAAAACTGTATATAATATGTGTGGGTACAGTGAATGAGTACGAGGACAATCACAGTTGAACACAAACACCGCAGAAATGTAAAAACAGCCCTGGTCACTAACGGGTTAAATAAGTAATTGTAAGCCTGGAGGACTGTTATATAAAATCATACTGGATTCTAGAATTGGGAACATTAGCTAATGCAGGATTAAATGGATAGATTAATTGGTCTGCTATTGCATAGTTTCTGATTTTGTAATGACAAAAAAAGTTTTTCAATAGGTGTGTGATTATCATTCCTGCATCAATTGGGCACGTTTTGTAACTGAATTTTACGAAGGATGGGATCTATGTCTGTTGTAAAGTATATGGAATTCGGGATTATTCTAGCTTTAGTGACTGAATAATCTAAATTGTATTAAAGACAGGAGGTGAATATTTGCTTTAACCTTCTTTACTGAAACTCCCAGCAGCAAAGAAATAGTTAAACATATAGAGAAAAAATCAACCAATCAGGACACATATTAGAACATAACAGTCTGTCAGGCTCCTCCCAAATCCTCTTTCTGATGCAGCCGATCATAAGTGTAGTCAACCGTGTAAACTTGAGTGAGCAATCAACCATGTAAACAAGAACGCAGTCGATACTAGAGACCAATGGAACGTAGTCTTCGTGGCTCACGCAGAGAAACTTCACACTAAAAGACAGAGAAAGATCGTGAAAGTATGGTCACTTGGACTGGGTGTCCGCAAGATATCTACATACACAGATCTACCCCCTGGATATTACGAGTATAAACTATTGAAAAATCTGAAATAGGTAGAACCAGGTAGATTAATAAGCACCTAAACAGAGCAAACAGAAAAACAGCCAGATTAATATAAAGTCTCACAAGAAACCTAAAAAAAATTAAGAGTATATGTGACCTGAAAAAAATCTGGGGTGGGATACCAAAAGGGTGGGAAAATATTCGCCTCCTGTCTTTAATAAAATTTAGATTATTCAGTCACTAAAGCTAGAATAATCCCGAATTGTATGGCAAGACAGGAGGCTTCATATTTGCTGTTTTAAAGTGTGGAAACCAACGAGAGCGAAGCATGGGATGATTGTTGAAAATTAAAGGTACGGAAGGTAGATTCTCTAGACCAATCAGCGCATTTTAGGATGTCTGCAAGGGATCCCCCAGCCATAAAGGCTGCAGCACCTCTGACAGAATGAGCTCCAAAAGAGGAATCTATGCCCGCCAAATCGAGAAGCCATTTAATCCAGCGGGCAATCGTGGGACAAGACACTGGCTTGTGTGGTCGCACATATGAGATAAACAGGGGGCCCGTAGGGGTATGTAGAGGTGATGTAGAGGCGACGTAGTGTTAGACACAACGAGCAACGCAGAGCGACGGTCTGTCAGAAAAATAAGGGTAAGTAATCATTAAGGAATTAGTTTTAGTGCGGCGAGAAATGTTGAAACGTACACCTTGGGGCGTGAAATCAATAGTGTGAAAGTCAAATGCCTGAATATCAGACACTCTTCTAAAAGCAACTAAGCAGAGAAGAGCTAATTTGGCCAACAGTTGTCGTAGAGAGAGTGCTTCGTTGGATGGCCAAGTCTCCAGTAAGGACAAAACAAGAGCAACATCCCAAAAATGAGAATATTTTGGGACAGGAGGTCGAGCAAGACGAATGCCACGCAACAGTCTACAGATGGAAGGGTGTTTACCAATTGCTGTATTGTCAATGGGGCCATGAGCTTCCGAAATTGCTGAACGAAACACATTAATGGATCTGTAGGATTTACCTTGATCAAAAAGAGAGGACAGAAAGTTCATAACGTTAATCAAAGAAGCTGAAACAGGATCAATACCACTTCCCAAGCACCAGCGATGCCAAACTCGCCAGGCTGAGAGGTAAGAGCGTCTAGTCCCGGGGGCACATGAGTCCCATAAGAGTTCTCTAGCAGTCTCCGAAAGTCCTGCGGCATTCCAGGATCCCCTGAAACAGTCCAGGCCACTAGCTGGAGATGACCCTGCAAGGCGAGAGGGTGAAAGTTGCCTGCGGGATCTTTGAGAAGATCGTGCGTGGCAGGTAGCAGTAGTGGATAATCCACCGACATCTCCAAGAGATTGGGGAACCATGGTTGGGTACGCCACAAAGGAGTCAGCAGTGTTATTGTGGTCCCCTGAGTCCTGAGATGATGGAGAGTGCGAAGGATCATGGAGAACAGAGGGAAGGCATAAGCTCAGGTCATTGGCCAAGATTGAAGGAAGTCATCTACTGCCAGAGAGGTCGGATCCGGCAACCAACTGAAAAAAGCGTCTGTCTGTCAATTCAGACGAGACGCAAATAGGTCGAGGTTGAATGGACCCCGAAGAAGATGGAGACGGTAAAAAACGTGTGGGTCCAATTGACAGTTGCTGGAGTCTCTCCAGTGTCGAGAGAACCAATTTGCGACTAAGTTGTCGGAACCAGGTAGATACTCTGCTCGAAGGGAGATGTTCCTGTCTAGACAAAATTGGTATAATTCTTTTGTGAGGTCTGAGAGCATTTTGGAACGAGATCCTCCTAAGCGATTCACGTATTGAACAGCTGAGATGTTGTCTATTCTCAGCACTAGGGAACAATTGTAAGAGTCCTTTGCAAAACTGCGAATCGCAAAGGAACCGGCAATCAACTCGAGGCAATTGATGTGCAATGCCCGTTCTGATGGGGACCAAGGACCTACGGTAGAGAGATTTGCGCATGATGCACCCCAGCCCAGAAGACTGGCATCTGATTCTAGGATGTAATCTGGCTGTGATCCGAAGATCGTTCTCCCGTTCCATGCATCCATATGGTGTAGCCACCAATTCAGTTCGAGTCGGACTTCGTCTGTCAAGGAGGTCTGTTGATCGTAAGATGCAGAGTGACGTAAAGAGCGAGTCTTCAGACGTTGCATTGCTCGGTAATGTAAAGGACTGGGAAGATCACCTGAATCGAGACGGAGAGTAGTCCGATTATGCGAGCTAAGTCATGAAGACGGATAGTCGAAGAGGCTAGAATTTTTCTGATGTCTTTTTTGATGTTCTTGATCTTTACTGAAGGGAGTTGTAGGATAGCCAAAACGGAATCTATTTGGAATCCAAGGAATAGAACCATCTGAGACGGGGTGAGGACGGATTTTTGGACATTGATCATAAACCCCAAGTTTTTTAACAGAGCTGTGGTCATGTCTGCATGGAGGCGTAGAGTGCCTGGGACCCGAGCCATAAGGAGGATATCGTCCAGATATATGATGGAGCGAATCCCCTGAGAGCGTAGCAAGGCCATGACCGGTTTCATCAGCTTGGTGAAACACCAAGGTGCGGAACAGAGTCCAAAGGGGAGGCATGTGAGCTACCATAAGTCTTGATGCCATCTGAACTGTAGGAAACAGCGATGGGCCGGTGTTATAGGAACCATGAGGTAAGCATCTGTCAAGTCCAAACGGGAGAACCAGTCTCCCTCGCAGAGTAGGTCTCGAAGGAGGTGGATACCCTCCATTTTGAAATGTTGGTAAACAATAAAATAGTTTAGGTCTTTCAGGATGATAACTGGTCGAAAGTCTCCTGACTGTTTTCGGACCAGAAATCTGTTGCTTATGAATCTGTGAAGGGACAGAGAACGTTCTATGGCGCACTTGGCGACAAGGTCGTTTAGCGCGGCCTCCAAGGTCGCATTGTCCTCTTGAGACATGTGCAGAGGTGGAGGGGGAGACTCCTGTAGAGGGTCGTTTGCAAAATCTATATGGAAACCAGATACAGTTTGAAGGATCCATGGATCTTGAGTTAATAGAGACCACTGTTGGAAAAAAAGGGTTAACCGGCCTGCAATAGGAACTTGAGTCGATTACCTGAAGCAGTGCGGCCCCGGAGGGAAGCATATCCACATACTCTGATGGAACGTGTAGAGGGAAAGAACTGCTTGTGGTAGAAACGGGTATTGCCCGAATTCCATGAGTCTGCTGGTTGAGGCCTATAGCCTGTGAAGGCAGCTCTGCCAGTCGTTTGGCCCCTGTAGCGACCAGCTCTCCCGGAAAAATGCTGGGGTATGAACAACCTGCGAAGGTTCCATTGTGCCTTGTTGAGTGAGGTAAACATGGATATGTGTTTATTCAGGTCCCGTATGAACCTGTCCCCAAATAACAGTCCGTTAGCCTCTGGACCAAGTTCTTTGGTGCCTAATTCTGCCAATTTGGCGTCAATTTTATATAATACGGCTTTACGCTGTTCAACGAAAATAGCTACATTGGCGTTGCCCAACAAGCATAATGCTCTTTGTGCCCATTCACGCACCATTTGTGCGTCAAAATTGCCACCTGCTAGCGTCTCGTCAGCGATTATAAAAATCTGGATAAGCGGGCCTGGTATATCCATCAGTCTTAAGCCAACTTCGATTCCTTTGCGGGGATCTTTACCCGTCTTAGTTAGAAAAGTGACCAGGAGTGGGTCAAGTTCAGGGGTGACAGCCACCTTATCAGGGATTATAGGCCGTGGACATTCTGCTTTTAATTTGGCTCTAATCTCCTTTTCTAAAGGTTTACGAAGCCATAATCTGCAATATTTGGCAATGTGATCAGGGGGTGTCCATTCTGCTGAACGAGGGTGTCTGATGCAGCGTGGGTCAAATAGAGAACAACCATTGGTATCCAGTAGGATATCGTCCTTAGTATTGTCTAAATTAGTAGTGGACATAGGATCATTGTCCTGAAAGGACTGGTTTTGGGGTAGGAGAAAAGTCTCCGTAACAAATTCAGAAGAGGAAGGGTCACCTGGGAGATCCTCATCTGGATATGCATTGTATCCGTCTATCACTCGAAGGTGATAGCCAGAGGTTGAACCCTTTAAGGGGTCAGATTCTAAAGTCAAAGTGGGTTTGGCATGAGACAATTTAGCTGTCTTTGCTGGGGCTTTGCCTTTGCCAGCAGAAGCACTGTTACCCTTCCAAGGGCGCTTACGTAGGGCTTCGTCATGGTCAGAGACCCTGGAATCATCCGAGTCTGACAATTGCGTGATTGTGGCAGTATTGGCTGTCTGGTCACGAAAACGTTGCCAAGTCTTTGGGGATAGAGTCTGCAATTGCAGCTTGAAGCCAGGCTTTAAATTCTGCGGACAGTGCAGGTTCTGGTTGGTCCGATATGATGACCAGTAAAATACTAGTGGGTTCACCACAGAATCAGTATACCAACAGGTATATTAAACAACTTTTATTTATTTATTTTTATTAATTTATATATATTAATATATATATATATATATATATATATATTTTAACAAACTTGTCACAAACAAATTAAAAGCAGGGGCTGTCTTATTGGGGATCACCCAGACAATATGCAGTCACATTTAAGGGGACTCAGTGGGGTTCATCCACAGTTATGGCAGTTAAACTGTCAATATAATAATGACAGGGGTAACCTGTGTAAGCAATTAAAATATAAGGGGTTCACCCTGAGAGATAAGGTACGAGGGGGTCAGCATCAATAAAGAGGCACAAGGAGGTCACCCTCAATAAAAGAGGCAAGAGAGGGTCATCCTCTAATAGGCATAGAGCTGTTTTATATAGTTGGAGGGCAATCTGAAAATAAAACACAAATATGCTATGATAGCTGCAATCCAGTAGCAGAGAGCAGTTCCTGAAAAGCGCGCGAACGGGAAATTTAACCGCCGAACAGAAGATGGCCGCCGGCAAGAAGGAGGAAGGCGGGAAAACTGCATGTCAATCAATGACGCGAAAAAAAAGGGCGGTACAGAAATAGATTGCGGGCGTGATCAAAACGGACCGCAGCCACTGCAGTGGCGCGGTCTGAAGATAATTTCGCCAAGGAAATGATTAGTAAGGTTTTACCATTAGAAAAAAATAGTCAGAGATAAATAAAGTCACAGGGAAGGGACTGGATCGTGGGCTGACCTGAGAAGGGTCGTTGTGATAAGGGCAGAGATAAAATAAACACACACATTATCTCATGTGAGTAAAACAGACAGGGAAAGTTAATTAAAGGAGTCAAAAAATATATGGAAAAACAAAAAAAGGCAGGTAAATAATATATATTAGAGAGCTATAATAGACTCACCTGGGAGGCAAGCAGCAAAGAGTGAGGATTTGGCAGGAGCCTGACAGACTGTTATGTTCTAATATGTGTCCTGATTGGTTGATTTTCTCTCTATATGTTTAACTATTTCTTTGCTGTTGGGAGGTTCAGTAAAGAAGGTTAAAGCAAATATGAAGCCTCCTGTCTTGTATTCCTGACCCTATAGTGTTAATAACACAATCTAGCCCCCCTTGCCCTCCCTAAATATAGTACAATCTTACTTGTATTCAAGCCTGCAGCTGCTACCTCAGCCCCTAATCTCCCTGCTTGGCTGACATCACCAGAAGTGATTCTCTGAGCCAATCACAATGCTTTACCATAGGATTGTCTGAGACTGTCAAGGAGGCAGATCAGGGAAAGAGCCAGCACAATTCAAACACAGGCCTAGCCAATCAGCATCTCCTCATATTGTATCTGTAACGAAAATATACCCCAACACGCAGGATTTAAGCTAAACAAATGTCAGCACAGAGGGAAGGTACGTCTACCGGACCTTAGAGTGGCCGGACTTGACGTAAAGGAGAGAGATACAGAGTCAGGAGCGATCCGAGGTCAAGGGCACAAAGAGACAGCGTAAACTTGGACTAGCCGGGGTCTGGTACACAGAAAACAGCAAACCGGCAAACAGAACAGATAAGGATAAAGAGATAACGTAGTCAGAAACAAAGCCAAGGTCAAGTACGAAGGAACACAACTGAACACAACAAGCGCTATAGGGAACTGAAACAGAAACCACGATAGGGCAAGGAACTAAGGGAAAAAGGTGAGTATATATACCTAAACATCTAATATGATTGGTCCCTGTCACATCCACGCCCCCCTGCGGCGCGCTCTTAGAGTTAGGCGGGACACGTGTCCGCTTCTCGCGGTCACTGCCCGCCTTCCTGTTACAGCCGTCGGATGAGCCGTGCGAGGCACGTGCAGCAGCAGGACAGCGCGCGGCTCGAACAGAGGACCCCGGCCGGCCCCTGGAAAGGGTAAGTACCGCTACAGTACCCCCCCTGAGGACACGCCCTTCGGGCAGGGAGGGCCAGGCCTGGCAGGAAAATGAGAATGGAAAGAGCGCACAAGACGAGGAGCGTGAACCGCGTCAGCGGAAATCCAACTGTGCTCCTCAGGCCCATAGCCCTTCCAATGCACCAGGTACTGAAGTCGACCTCTAAGGAAACGAGAGTCAAGAACAGCAGAAACTTCAAATTCCTCATGACCCTCCACAGAGACAGGAGGGGGAGGAGGTGCATGTCGGGTGTAGCGGTTGCGTACGAAAGGCTTCAACAACGAGGTGTGGAAGACATTAGGAATACGCAGATTCTTAGGGAGACCCAAGGCATACGAAACAGGATTAACCTTATGCAGAATACGATAAGGACCAATAAAGCGGGGAGCCAATTTCATAGAAGGCACCCGGAGGCGAATGTTTTGTGTGGAAAGCAGAACCCTCTCCCCCACGACATAAGAAGGAGCCGCCCTGCGATGCTTGTCAGCCTGCACCTTCTGGCGAGCAGCGGAATCCACCAAAGAACGCTGAACCTGCTCCCAAGTATTACGCAAATTAGCCAAATGTTCATCCAGAACTGGCATGCCCTGTGAGGAGAAAGCAGCCGGAAGAACAACAGGATGTTGGCCATAGACAACGTAAAAGGGATTCTTGCCGGAAGAATCATGAGTAGCTTTATTCCGAGCAAACTCAGCACAAGGAAGAAGGTCAGACCAATTGTTCTGATGGTGGGATACGAAACAACAAAGGTACTGCTCCAGAGATTGATTGGCACGTTCAGCAGCTCCATTAGACTGGGGGTGGTAAGCGGAAGAAAATGAGAGAGAAATACCCATTTCCAAACAAAAGGCTTTCCAGAACCTGGAAATAAATTGGCTACCCCTATCGGACACAATAGATACGGGAATGCCATGTAATCGAAACACCTCTCTGGCGAAAATAAGTGCTAGTTCCCTGGACATGGGCAGCTTGTGAAGAGACACAAAGTGAGCCATCTTGGAAAACCGATCCACTATCATTAGGATAACTGTGTTACCATTCGAAGGGGGTAATTCAACAATAAAATCCATGGACAGGTTAGACCAAGGTCTCTCGGGAATGGGTAACGGATGCAACAGCCCACAAGGAACCCTACGAGAAGATTTCATACAGGCACAAGTAGTACAAGCACCTATATAGTCGGTGACATCCTTGCGTAAGGAATCCCACCAAAAATACAGAGAAACAGCTGACACCGTTTTGGAAACACCAGGATGTCCAGCAGTCTTAGTGTCATGATACAACGACAAAATCTCCCGTCTCTCGGGAACATCAACGAACAGTTTATCAGTAGGTCTCTCGCTAGGTGCCATACTTTGTTTCGCTTGTATGGCCTGCAAGAGGGACAAAGAAATAGACAAAATAGTGGTAGCTATTATCCTTTCTGGGGGAATTACAGGAGTAACATCAATCTCCTGTTTGTCAGCAGTTTCGAACTGTCTGGACAGAGCGTCTGCTTTAGTGTTGCGGTCACCTGGCCTATAGGTGATAATGTAATTGAAATGAGACAAAAACAGTGACCACCTAGCCTGTCTAGAAGACAATCTTTTAGCCTCACTAAGGTAGGATAGGTTCTTGTGATCCGTAAATATGAGGATAGGATCCTTAGTTCCTTCTAACAAATGTTTCCATTCTTTCTGTGCTAAAATAATAGCAAGGAGTTCGCGATTACCCACATCATAATTCTTTTCTGCTTTGGACATTTGTTTGGAGAAGAAGCCACAAGGATGCAATGGTTTTTCAGGCGACTCTCTTTGGGATAAGACAGCACCTACCCCGATATCAGAAGCATCAACTTCAAGAATATAGGGCAGTGTGGGGATAGGATGCTGTAAAATAGGTGCAGAAGCGAACGTAGTTTTAAGAAATTCAAAAGCCTGAAGCGCCTCGGGAGACCAGACACGAGTATTGCCATCCTTTTTTGTCATACGGGTGATAGGTGCTACAATAGAGGAAAAACCTTTAATAAAGCGTCTATAATAGTTAGAGAAACCAAGAAAACGC